CATCATGAAAACAAAAATAAAGGGGATTATGGGCAAGCTACTGTGCCATATGTGATTACTGGGGCTTCCATGTTTCCCTGAGGGGGATGAGTGACTATGAGACAACATATTTTATTTATTTATATGATTCTGTCTTATGAATAAGAATGGGAAATGTGGCTAAGACCAGAGTATTGCACCCTGTGAAAAATTGCTGCTGTTGCACCAAATTCTGAAAAAAAAAAAAATCCCTCTTTCAGCTCCAGTGCAAAGATCAAAGATGTTTTTTCACCTTTTTATTTCATCTACGACTTGAGTTAAATTGAACCGACATAAGTGTGCTGTACGTGCCCCATTTTCACACCTTTTCAAAACACTTCCTTTGCGGCTGTGTTTTTAGAGTTCATGTACAAACCAGCACGGGTCCACACACATCTGCGATGAAGAGTCAGGTCCTTTTTACCCACCTAAATGAGATCCATGTTGAAGTGACATTTGAGAGAATTACCAGTGCATGGGGGAGCAGGAAAGAGGTTACCTCACTCCTTTGTTATTGGTTGAGGCCCACCACAGCCTACCTTTACTGACGGACGCTACCCATAACCCTTAGTGCACCCCGTCAACCCCCCCGCCCACACACACACATACACACATATACACGCTCAACTTATCCCAGTTCTGTCTTTCTGTCTGTCAACCTCTCTCGGTTGGCTGTTTCATTCTCCTTGCACTAAACTGTCTGCCTTTCCTGATACATCATCTAAATGGAGTTCCATGTCATTTCAAAGCCAAGTCAGATAGCCTCTGTGGAACCTACAGCGCGCATCGCTGTAATGGTCACTTGTGCCGTCCGCCTCAGCTTTGACACCCACTGATGATGAGTTTGATTTCTGCCCTTTCTCCTCTCTGCAACATTCATCTTTTGAAGGTGAATTCTGAAATTCCCCGTAAGATGTTTAAAAGATTTACCATGGCTGCCGATCTACGTGGAGCATACAGAGCAGACCTGCAAATCTTTAAGTATGCATGGGCAGCTGTTGTTTGTCGCCCAAACCGGGCTGTTCTGTCATTTTTTGCACGGTGAGGCATATGGCTGGGTGACTTTCCATAGGACACTGTACACCCATTCAAAGTTCTTTGATTTTTGGACTGAGGGAAGTTTTTTTTTCCTGTCTATTTTTTTTCCTATTACAAGAAAGTTAAAGTGTTAATAAGAAATTTCATCAAGACAGACAGCTCCTGCCTTTGGACAATTAGCTTTTTGTCAGCCATGACGGGCTTTCTGGTAGAGTGTGCATCATTTTCATTCCCCTCCCGTTGACGAACGCATCATTGTTCCCAGATGAGCTGTCTTCAACTAAACACCTCATGGGCCATAAATGACTCCACTGCTAAGCTAATGACCTCATCCCATCCCCTCAGTCATTTGTGTCAAGAAAACCTAAAGCTAAGCTGATAAACGTGTTTCCACTTAAAATGAAACTTAATTACTTTAGCCAGCTAGACCATGTGGAGTTCAGTTTGGTTGCAAAGACTTTTCAGTGCGCTTCCTTAATTGTTATTGTAAAAACGGAGCAAATTTTTCATTTGTTTAAACTATACATCAATTGGATCAACAGAACTGAAACAGGATAAAGGTGTAGATGCACTGGGAAGAACTGTTAGATTTTCAGCTGGCAACAAGAAAAATATTTTTCAGCTTTTTTTTGGCAGTATATTTTCAATATACAAGGCAAATATTCACCTTGTCATCTTCATTGTAAATAAGTGTAACTTACCTGAGAATTAAAAACTGTTTTGAATATTTGACAGTTACATGTAAACCATTATGATTTTAAACTGTCCTCTATATCGATAATGTTTAGCAGAAAAATAATTAACATTTGGATCTTCGATTTCTTCAGTTGTTTCGAAACCTAATGGCACTTCAAAGTGTCCCTCTTGCAGAATGTCATTATGGCACAATGCAACATGCCATGCCGTTGTCACAACCAGAGTAAAGTGCTGAGTGACTGTGACTGCTGGCAGAGCGCTTTGGAGGACAACAAGTAGAACAAGAAGCCACAGTGACCTGACAGCATGATTGTTTTCAGGGTGAGATAATGGACCTCTATTTCCTATACTTCTGCATTTGAACATTGTGAAATTAGAGTAGTTACATAGCCACTGACGTCCATGCTATCACAACAGCAACCCATGTGGAAACCTGTATACACAAATCCAATCTGATTACTCTCAAAGAACAGTAATAAAAGTTATTCCTTACGGTCTTAAAAGAGCAAGAGCTCTGATTTTTGGCTGCTGTCTGAGTCATTCCAAAACATGTAGAAGTTCAGACCTAACTGTTTACTTTTAAATTTTGCCATGCTTTTCGTTAAAGATTAGTCATCCCACTGCCCTGTTTTTTTTTTATTAGAGATCCTGGAAAAGCTTATTCATAATGAAAGTGCATTTGTCTCCAGGCCACTATGTTAAGGAGTGTGAACCGTTTTGAAGTCAACTCACGACTAATGTTAACGAAAAGGCTCGGCAATACCATGTAAGTGTCAAACAAAGCATTAAAGAATTATTACTTTATATAGACCTCAATAGTCCCAAGTATTGCCCTCGTCCAGCAGGAAAAATGACAGATTTGCTTAAGTTTCACCTCTGTGAAGGGGGTGGAAGGTTACTGTAAGAGAGGGCTGAATGAGCAGCCCCACTCTCTGACCCCACTCTCTTTTATCTCCTCCTCTCCATATCCCGAAAGACAGTATATTTATGAATTATTTATCTGTGTTTGAAAATGTTAAAGTTGTGACGTCCTTGTCCTGTGTCTTATCTCCAAGGGCATCGTAAGACGCTCTAAAGACCACAAAAAAAATTACAAATGTAGGAAAAGGCTCAGAAATGATAATATTAAAAAAAAACGATAGCCAGGCACAGCATTTAAATGTTGCCATGTGTGTATGACAACATATGTGTTTTATCAGAGGGAAAAGATGTTGGACTGTAACAGTAGACTGCTTTTCACTTATTTACACCAGATATGTCTGCAGCATGGCTTTGCTTTGCGGCATTTAAAGTGAAATGTGAATGAACTGATTAAGTCTCTACAGTTTTTACAGTTTTTTAAGTAGATGTGCACATGGTCATTCATGCCAAACAAGCTTCTTCTCTTTTTTCACCTCTTATTCTGTTAGACATGCTCATAAATTATGGTTTACATGTCCAGGCTTAATACCTTGAAATCTCCTCATAGCCAAGCAGTGCCTCTCTTTTTCAGACATCTATGAAGTGAAGCCAGCCATAGTTGTCATCAATATGAGATTTTTCAACAAGTATAATCCAGTGCTTTAGTGCTATACATTAGCTGTTAAAGTTCACATTGCGTCTTTTGGAGAGTGATCAGTTGCTGAATACTCGCTCTATGGAAATAGTCACTTTCTGGCAACTTGAAGATCTGTCCAGCCTCAGTTTAAGAGGTACATTTGTCACATACAGATAGATAATGTACACAGACAATGACAGAGAAGATGGGACCAGCTTTTGTTTGCACTGAATTAAACAGCATCATATGTTTGAATAGCTATTGACAATAGCCATGGATGTTAGATGACTGAGAACACAGACATGGCTTTTATCGTTGGAAAAGGAATTGGCAGTGATAACATTTTTAAGCAAGCACCGAGCAATAAGTGAGTGTTATGTGAAGAGGAAAATGGCACATCAGCCCCTGATAGTAAACACACTCCCTTTTATTATTATGATTATTTTCTCCCTAATGATAGTGAACATTATGAGACTTTTTATCCCATCTTCAAGCACCAGTTCTGCTTGTGGGGATGCTGTCTCTGTTCCTAAACGTTTCTTGCCATTTGTTTGCTAAATGTATTTGTTTTGAAGATGAATTGCTGCGCTGGCAGGCGAGATGACAACCTACACGAAGATGATATTGAATTGATTTCTGAAATGTTGCAGAACGGACTAGTTGATGTGTACCACGAGACATGAATAATAAAAATTCTATTAAAAAGCTCTTGAATGGCTGACACTGGAATATTATTTGTGATGATTAATTTTCTTCAGTCATTATAAAAGGGAGTTGGCATCAGATTGCCTCTGACAAAATTGCTTTTCACTCCCTAGTGAATACCCTCAGTATGCTTTTTGAGAGCACAAAACCATATTTCTAAATGCAATATTATGTCAAGACAGGCCCAGGAAAAGACACTGCTCATGTATCACCTTATTAGTACCACAAAATCTAGACTGTTTTGACTGTTCAGGGTCAGAAAAATATTCTCCTTGAATAAAAAGAACTGTCAGGTTTGTTTAGTTGTGTTTTTTAATTCATGAAACACAATTGTCGTAATTATGAGATTATAAAATAGCCTCTAAGTGATGTTTTTCTATGTAATGAATTGGATTAATTATATTTTAAAGGCGTGCAGGCTGACAGTATTTTTCTTTCAAAAGTGTCCAGATTTCTAAAGCTATTTATTCTGCACAGCAGCTGTTGTTGTCTAATTAATTTGCTGTGTACATCTCTGTTGAATGAATTCTCAACACTTTCCTAAGTGCAACATTTTGCATTTCTAATTATTTTTACTTTCAGTACAACACACTGAAACGGTTGTGTATCTGCAAATGCAGCAAACGGCAAAGACTTAAGACGTAGCGGATATCAACAGGTGCATTTAAAAGCTCATTATGCACTTTTTTCATTACTGTGAGACGTCTTTGGTAAGCTGCTTCTCAGCTATAGCGTTTGCTGCTGTTTAGTTTAACATATGTTTAAATAGGCATTCTTTCTTTATTTCTTTATTAAGTGCGAGTATGTATGTGTTTATGCTGCGTTCATCTGGAGTTTGATTTCGAAACTCCATATATACCATAAGGTGTGAAAGCATCAGGCTTAACAGAGTTTTTTCCACATTTGTCCGTAACGATCTTCCTGTGGCCTCCATGTCATAAGACGAAGCGAATGAACAAGGTTGTTGTGTCATCCTTTCCAAAAAACATTTTCCTCTCCCTTTCAGAGCTACTCCAGTCAAGGCAGAGGTAACAGCGGTGGAGGAGGAGCAGGGGATGAAGACTACGAGATTCCTCCCATCACACCACCAAACCATGCCGACCCGTCTCTGCTCCATCTCATGGAACATGAGTCAGGTTACCCCTTCCACTCTCTGCCTCACAATGGTTTGCTCAACACCTACTCTTACCCCGAGCTGCCTGCCCTGATGATGTCCAACATGCTGGGTCAGGACACTCACCTCCTCTCTGGGCCTATGCACTCAGTGAGTACATCTTTATTATATATACTTATATATATATATAAATGTTTCCTCCTTTTAAGCTTTGGCCTCTGGTGATCATGTAAGTCAAGAACTGTGGTATTGTAAGCTATTAGTCTTTGCGGTGGGAGTGTTGGAAGACAGCCAGCAAGTCAAAAAGGGAACATTTTGTCTGAGGGTTTTGTTCATGTTTCTGTCATGGAAAGTTCATTCCGTTCAAAATCTTATGATACCTCCCTGTAAAAAAATCTACATCTAAGTCTGCTAGTACCATAAGACCATTTTTTTAGTCATTTTCACAAAGAATTCTTCTTCCAGCAAGACAACGAGAACGGAATTCTTCGTCCTTACAACCTTTATTTAGCAGAACCTGCTTCCTTTGTAGCCGAGCATCTTCAGAATCTGTGCAGCCACACGATTCAGAGTGCGCCAGAGAAATGGAGCTAGAAACCCCACACTGTACATATTCATTCGCTGTGATCGACAAAGCAAAAATAAAGATGAAGGGGTGCAAACGGGGCACGGGGTTTGAACAGAAAATCTTAATGGGGAAATGGGGATATCCCTTGTCAGCGACTTTTCTTTTTCAAAGGGATACTGAGGATGCCCATTCTCTGGTGTTAAACATGCTTCAGACCCAAGATGTAAACACCCCTGGCGAACACATTCAAATGCTTTAATCATAGAATCGAATAAGATGAATTATAGATGGCCTGTGCGGTAAATTATTCAGTGTTATATACTTTCATCTGACATAGATATTACTTTTTTCCTCTCTAACCCTCTCTCATGAATATTTATGCTTTAATGTGAACATCCATGGCATTTATCCTCTGTTAACCAGGTGATATTCAGAATCAAACTGCATGAGTTGCAGGTTCCTATTTTTTCATTGGGTGGTGGCTAAGGCCTCCATTAAAGCCATTCTTTAGGATAAGGTCAGAGTCGTCTGGCTGCTATAAAAGCCGTATCCTCATGGTTCATGAGAAACATACTGCTGACAAACCCCTCACTACTCTGCAGTCAGAGTAGTGAGGGGGATGTAGCTGGACCAGAATCGTGTGACTGAGCTGACGACAACCTGGGCCAAGCACCTGGATGCACGTGAACTGTTTGCTCCTAAAAGTTTTTACCTCTGTAATGCAGAAGAATATGTGACAAAGCAGCCCTTTTAAGCCGCTAACGTTTTGGAGGCAGATCAGGATGGAGTGCCTGCTTCTTAAACAGCTTTTGTTTCACCTTTGCAATTATTTATTTTCAAATAGCCCTTCAGGGTAATGTTCCATTTTCTTATTTCACACCCCCTTTTCTCATAAATGAACCGTCATTGCAATAAATCACTGCACAAACAGAGACTTGCACACACTGTGAAAGGTCCAGAGATTTATGTAACACATTCATGTTTCCCACTTCCACATTTTAGTACTACTCTAGCCGAGGCTGGCTAATAATAGCTGCTATTAATATTTCTTGTTGCCTAGCAACCCCAGCAAGTAATAGCTTACTCTGGAAAAATAGATGACCGATAAGGAAGAAGGAGGGGGGTGGAGGGGGGTAGGTGGGGGTAGAGTTGGGGGGGATTCAATTCATTTATTATCTCTTGGGACAAGAGGAGCTTATTTCTGAGACTGAGGAATAGGAAATTGGGCTTTATATTGAGAAATATTTTAAACCAATTGGAGATGAAGTTATTTTCATTTTGCTTCCATTATGGAGCTTGCATTTGATGTTTCCCCCGCAAAGTCAATTAACCTTAATTTTTATACTGATAAAGGTATAATAACAAAGATTGAATTTATGTATGCTCCATGCTTAAAGAACAATAAGGGTGGATGGAAATTGGCTCTCGGCATTACCACACAGCCAGGGTCAGAAAGGAAGAGACAAGCCTTTGGCTCCGTTGTATTATATTGACAAAAGCCCCACAATAATCTCAGAAAATTGGAGGAGATAGCTGGAAAACAAAAACACTGATCATTCAGCAGTCTTCTTTTGCTGCCACTGCAAAAGCAAATAAAAAGTCGACAGTGTTACCTTAAGGATACACGTCTCTTCAATAACAGCTATCCTTCACTGCACATTTAAAACCTCCTACAAGTACAAGCTCAGCTGGAGCAACAGATACGCTTCATCTCAAGGGATGTTGTTGCTGGTTTTTGTACAACATTTAGCCTAAGGCTAAAGCTCTGTAAACTTCACCCTGCTTTGGGATTCTCTTTTTCAGCACACATCGATCCCACCGCAAACAGAGTTAAATCATTACAGGATAGGGAGCTGTGGACTGACCGTCATCATACTGCATTGGCATATAATTTTGCCTGTATTTGTCTTTGTCACTTTCGTCGCCAGTATCTCTTTACCTAAGGATGACTTCACAGTCTCTGGATTTCTAACCTGCTTAAAGGCGCAGGCCGCTTTTGTGTTTTAAAACTAAATCCGTTGTGGCTGTTTAAATGTAATGCCAAGGGAACTTGAAATATTAGCTGGAAAATCAAATAATCTGCTATACTGAGCTTTTTTTTTTCTAATTTATTTGTTTACTTGTGTGTTTGGGGTTTTTTCAGTTCAATTTTCGGGGGTTGATACTCTCTGCTGCAGTTTCAACTATCTCTTAGACTTAAAATTGCATCACTCCAGCAAGCCTGGGTATCAACACATAATAAAGCGCAGAGCTGTCCATCAAAGGTGCTCTTCCATTTCTCTAAACTCCTCCCCACACCACTGACCTGCTCCGTCAGCCTCTCTGAACTGAAGCACAAAGATCCAGGTCCTGGATGACTGGCTACCGTGAAATGTGACATGCTGTCGTGCAAATACTCACTGCTGTAGGAGAATCCCCATCTCACTTTCAATCTCTCTGCCATCACAGCACTGTGGTAAGAGGTGGCACACAGGGGTCTCATGTTCGACAAGCCCCCCTGTCGTTCAGGTCTGGCTGGTGGTACGGCTAGGGAGTTGTCTCCATGAGCCATCTCTTTAGAAAATTAAATAGATTTAGAAGGAGGGAGCCACGCCAGCTGACGGTAATGAGAGGTCGAGGAGGAGTTAGTAGAACGGCCCCAATGTGGAGCCTTGAGGGGTGCCGGTGCATTTGAATATTGAAACAGAGCTCCAGCCCCTGTCTCATTATCGCCGTAATGAGGCTGGTAAGGGAGGAGGAAAACCCCTGCTGCCATAAAAGCAGCTGCCAGCTTTACAGGTTTATGATATATTCACACAGATGACTCTTGTTTGGAATTTTGTCGTTAAGTATTCGGCACTGGATTAATAGTTTTGCAGGATGTACACTGCCTACCATACCTTTAACTATATTTCAAACATGGTGATGTTTATATTACTCTACTACTCTCTTTTTAGCTATTCTGGAGTAATAGCATTCATCCAAACATGTAATATGTTTGAGATTTTTATTCTAATCCAAGCTCTGGTCTTTGGTTTCAAGCAATGTTTTTTTTATTCATGTGCAAAATCCTGCAACTGATTGTGGCATGTGCAAAAAATATAATCTGGCTTCGCTTAGTAAATGTTTGTACATTTTGTAAGTGCTCTGTGGCACTGCTCACAGCATTTGTTTGCTCAGTGGAACTGTGTTTGCTATGTATGTGTGTTTTTCCAGGATCTGTCTTTGTCAGAGTCACTGATTGCAATAAGGTTATGTTAGCTTGACTTCATTTGACTTCCTTTAATCTGGAAAAGGAAATTTATTTTTGCCTCACTTGGCATTTAGGACATAGACAGCAAGGGAACAGGCCATAACAGTTTTAAAGCAGAGGCATAAAAGCTGTATTGACAGCTGTGGTTGTTGACAGTGCCGGGATAGTTCAGACAGGAACCCAATCAAACCATTAACAAGGTCGAGGTGAGGTTATCAACAATGTCCCTATTTTTTTACGTTCTTTCAGTGATATCCAGACAAACACATCCAGAAATGGAAATCTGATCGTGGTAGTGATATGCTAGGAATTGTCCCTGTTCTCCTAAAGGTGCATTCAACCTAGGAAAATGTTTTTATTCATTTTGTCGTTTACAATATTGCTGAAAGTTGCTGTTTGAGTTGTCACATTTTACTCAGTGCAGCAAGACTACTTTTGTTTTTGTAACAGTTTCATTTTATTTTTCTTTAGAAATAATTTCTCTTTTTTCCCCATTGTTAGTTTTAGGCGTATCTCATATGACCTGTTTGCTCTGCTGCCTTTCACTGACGTCTCTGTGATGTTCTCTGATAAATCACTTTTTGTAACAGTAAAAATATTTTCTGTTCCATTCTCCATTTTGAAGAAAGACAGATGCCCTTTAGAGCTGCTCTCCACAACAGAGGTGAACAATGTGTCTTGTAGTTGTCAAAACAAATGACATGGAGATAATTGGTAGGGCACCGCTGTTTCATTTAAACAGAAACGAATAGGCTTCCAAAGAGAACTGCACTAAAAAGCCAAGCTTTGTTTTGTGTTGCTTATTATGCAGGCTTCAGAGTGGAGTAATGAAGACGAGCATTACCGGATTGAGCATTAAAAACAAATGCACATTCATTGCAGGCCATGAATATTCATATCACTAATTCAAATAACCTTAGGCAACTGTTACAGCTAATGAATATTTAAAACAGCCTGGTCACAGAGGTTTGAACACTGCATTATATCTTACTTTCTAGGATCATCATGTACAATGGTAAACAATTAGGAATGGCAAAAACAGATTTCAGTGGTGATGACTACGCATCTGGAAAAATACCCCGTGTTTGTCACATTAGTCACGGGCCATTGACGCACTAAAGAACAGCATAACGACATGCAAGGGGAAAACTATTTGAAAAATTGTCAGTCGTCCACATAATTGCAGAGAATATTGGTTGATTAATCAAGTAGTCCGAATATCAGTCCTCAACAATTATTAAATCAAAACCCTTCTTTAGGTTCAAATTTCAATCCTCAGAAGTGTCTCATTGTTGCAAATGAATAGCTTTTGACAACCAGTAAACATAATTTGGACTTAACTCTTCAATG